CTCCGGACTTGTAAACCGGATTATATTTGCAACGACCACTTTATCTTTTATAAGGCATAGTTGGACGTGATCACATAAACAACATGAAATCCAGTCTCTCTAATTGGAAAACCAACTGCCTAAGCATAGTTGGCTGGATTACCCTTGTATCCACAAATTGAATCTTAATACCATTCCCAATCATTGCCATGCAATACACACTTCTACCTCAAAATTTTTTAAATCTTATTGATAAAATTCAAAGAGATTTTATTTGGTGTAGTACTGAGAATAAGAAGAAACTCTACCTTTTGAGTTGGAAAATAATCACAAGGGAAAAATCCAACGGCGGCCTTGGCATCAAGAAGGCTAGATCAAAAAAATTGGCTCTTCTAACTAGTTTTACTTGGCGGCTGTTCAACTAGCCACATTCTCCTTGGTCAAAGCTGCTCATAGCTACCCATGTAAATAAAACAAAAATAATTAATACCTATTTCATTTGGAGTGCTATAGTGAAGGGTTGGTATTATTGTAGTAAAGGAATCTTTTGGTGAGTTAATGAAAACCCCAATATTGACATTTGGAACTCTAAATGGATTCCCAATGCCCCTTGCCTTAGAAACTCTATTCAAGGGTCTCTCTCTATTATAGAGTTAAATCTCAAGATAAAAAACCTTAAACTAGATAATGATTAGAATTTGTCCAAGTAAATCTTTGATCTGCCGAACTTTATTACTGATATGCCGACCTCAACTCCCACCTATGTGGGACAACTCAACACCCCCTCACGCCCAGGCCTCTGGAGCGTGGACAATATAAATGGAGGCCCAACATCGGTAACAATAATTGGGATGGGCTTGGCTCTGATACCATGATAAGAACGGACATTGGGCCTAACTCAACCCCAAAAGCTAGCTTGTGAGGTGAGGATTGCCCAAACCGTATAAGGAGACCAAGGACCTCAACTCCACCGATGTGGGACAACTCAACATTAGAACTATTAATATTTTCAAGCATATTAATAATGTGGACACTCCTATATGGTCGCTTAATAGTAATGGTAGGTTTAGTACACGTTCTTGTTATACTCTCATTGACGAGGGTGAGAGTAATGACAAGGATTTCGCATGAATCTGGTAACTTCACCATCCTACCAAGATAAAATTCTTCTTATAGATATGCTTTCACAGCTGACTCCCTTGTAGATCATATTTATGTCATATAGGCATGAATGTGAATGCAACTTGCCCCGTGTACAAAAATGAAGATGAAACCATAACCCACATCTTCATCGCCTACCCTGTTGCAAATGCCTTATGGCAAAAATTGGACTCCACAAATCTCATTACCACTGATCATAACAATTGGCTTCTCACTATAAAAGACCTCAATATCACTCTTGACAATAATTATCTTACTTGGGAGGATCTTTTTATTTTTATTTTGTAGAGCATGTGGATAAATAGAAACAATAATAATCAAAATAATACTAACTATCATCTCTCTCCTAAGAATATTTTCAACAGGCTAAGGAATTCAAATTTGTCACAGCTAGGGAGCCTAATCGAATCTCAAGAAGGCCCATCAAAGTAAAATGGGTTAAACCACCTACTGGATAGTCAGCTGAATACAGACGAGACTTCTAATGCAAGTAAATTGTGTTGCAGACTTGGTGGAGTCATCCGGAATAGCTCAGGTGGCTGAGTGATTGGCTTCAATAACTTTACACATGTTGTTACTCCTATTCAAGCAGAACTTTTAGCTTTACAACAAGGCCTTCAACTTGCATGTGATCTTAAACTATGGCCTTTAGAAATAGAAACAGATTCAACAGACGCGCTTCAATGTCTTGAAAATGGTTATCCAACGTACAATACTATTATATGTGAATGCAGGTGCCTGATGTTCCAGCTGAAGCAGGTGGTGGCCCGACATAGCTTTAGGCAAGCAAATGGAGTGTCTCATGTTTTGGCAAAGGAAGCTTCCAAGGTGTCAAATCTAAACCCATTTTTGCGATAGACAAAGGGGAATATACTTTATTAGATTAATTTCGGATAATGTATGTACTAAGTTGGCTGAATTGGGAAACCAAAATATTCTAAGCTACATAATGTAATATGACTATTGTTTATTAGTATTAGTTAATAATATCAGTATTCCAATTTCTCAAAAAAAAAAAAAGAAGAAAAAACTTTAACGTGTTATGAAACTTAGCTCAAAGTAACAATATAGAACAATAAAATAGACAACAATGTAGAGAGGAAGAGAGGAGAGAATCTTATTTCTTCTATGTATTCAAGTGTATACAATGTGATGCCAAAACCCTCTATTTATAGGATTACATAGAGGCATACAAAAGAATGCCATAAACATGACATTAAACATTTAAGATCATGGAGGAAGATCATGGGGAGGTTATGGAGGTGTGGGAGTTACAACTATAATGGTGAGAAGTAGTGAGAGTTATCTACATAATGGAGAAGAGTAGTGGGAGTAACTTCTTTAGGAGTTATAGACATCCACTACAAAATAATATTTCATAACACTCCCCCTTGGATGTCTATAGATAATGTGCCTCGTTTAAACCTTACTAAGAAAAAACCCTGTGGGAAAAAATCTTAGTGAAGGAAAAAGAGTACACATATCTTGTAATACGCATTATTTGCTGCCTCATTAAAAACCTTGCCAGAAAAACCCAGTGGGATAAAATCTTTAGCTAAGGAAAAAAGAGTACAGCGTGTATTTGCCTCCCCTTGATGAAAACATCACTTTATTCTTCGGAGACGACGAATTCCAAGCTTGTATAACAACTTCTCTAATATTGAGATCCGCAATGTCTTGTGAAGAAGTTTGTCAAATTATCACTTGAACAAATTTGTTGAAGAACTTTGGTGAATGTGCTTTTATTTTGTCTCCTTCGATAGTCCTTCTTTCAATTGATATAAGCAAACAACATTATCTTCAGTATTATTAGAATCTTCTCTTCTAAGTCAAGTCACACGTCTGTTGTGTGTTGAGCCCCTTGCTTTATCAGTTGCTTATCTTGGCATGACTTGAATAAGTATCAACAATTAACTGCCTTGTAATATGATAATATGGCAGTACTCTCACATGCAAATAGAATGTTTGAAGAACGAACTTCAGAAAATGCCTGTATTTGCATAACCAACAAAATCTTGGCGATATTTGTTAGAATAAATAAATCTAAATCAAGTATTCCTTTTGAAATATAATACTAATTGTATTCCAATATCCTCACATTGAAATAAAACTATATCTTGCTAGCATATTGTTATACTCATGGTTCTAGCCAGATATATTAGTGCACCAATTGCACTAGACACAAAAATAAATCATGTACGCAATGATCGCTCTAATCTACATATTGTTACATTCACCTTCAGGAATGAATCTGCATTCTCAATGCACAAGTCACATTCTCTTCAAAGAATGGAGTATAATTATCGCGACGTGCTTTATAAATTTTTCATACCAATTTGATGGTAAATATTTCCTTCATCTATTGAAGGATTACTTCGAGAACCCTTATTGTTCTCATTTTTTTACAATTACCATAATGATGACTATTATTATTTGATCAATGGCACGCCCATGTTCATTGGTCAACCACTTGTCTTCATTTACTTATTATGCATTGCTACCACATTCACTTAAAGAATGGTGCAAATCAAGTGGGACAAGATTCATGCTTTTCCATGAAAAATATATTATTTTTCTTTAGTCATCACTATGTCATCTATATGGTGCATTGGAACTCAAACCCAATGCCTGACCCATATAAAGACATGTTAGGCCATAATGAGTTGGGGCTCGAACCCAACTTTTACAATCATGGATCATTAGGACTCAAAACCCGATGTCTTACCCCCATGGTGCGTTGGGACTTGAACCCACCGTCTTATTCTCATATAATGTTTATCACAAATGGTCTGATTCACATTAGGGAATGGAATATAATTCTATGTAGCCACATAGTAAAATCTATCATAAAAATAAGCAAATAGAAATGATAAGAACTATTATCAATAAAAATATGATAGAGTACAAACTCGTGTTTTAGTATCCTACATATAAACATGTCAATAAGAGAGTCACCATGTAGCGTTATTACTATTTGATGTATTAGTGCAAACTAATGCATGATGATTAAATAAAATGCACACAAGAATTGAAACACATAACTAAATATACTTAACTTAAAAAAATAAATAATCTTAAGTAATAACTATTGCTAGCATATTCTGTTTTAAATACAAATGATGTCAAAATAGGCTAGTAAAACATAATGATATCACTTTGTCAATTATCAACATAAAAATGTTGCACCTAATTAGATTAGGCCATCGATCTTAAAAGTCCTCGTTAATACACAACATGACCAGAATGTTTTTGATGTTTCACAAAGATCTTTTAATATCATGGAAAATCAATGATAACATGATGTTATAATTATATAAGATCAATTTTAGAACTAGGAACAAAGTTAGTGAACATATACAACCATACGAGCATGAAAACTTAAAATCAAAGCTTAGTTTTTTCTAAACAAAGCAACTACAAATCTTAAATTTTAACATAAGCTAAATACACAATTTATGGTATAATTTGAAAAATAATACTCCCTGGATAATAGAGGCAAACTAAACATTATATGGCATTCGTAATAATGCCCATATTTCCATTGGTTCAACCAAATTGGTTCAAGATTGTCAACCATTCATATCTTCTAGGTTGATTAAAGCTTTGTGCTGATAACGTGTTATGAAACTTAGCTCAAAGTAACAATATAGAACAATAAAATAGACAACAATGTAGAGAGGAAGAGAGGAGAGAATCCTATTTCTTCTATGTATTCAAGTGTATACAATGTGATGCCAAAACCTTCTATTTATAGGATTACATAGACTCATAGAGGCATACAAAAGAATGCCATAAACATGACATTAAACATTTGAGATCATGGAGGAAGATAATGGGGAGTTTATGGAGGTGTGAGAGTTACAACTATAATGGTGAGAAGTAGTGAGAATTATCTGCATAATGGAGAAGAGCAGTGAAAGTAACTTCTTTAGTACTACAAAATAATATTTCATAACTATCAAATATTGTCCCAACAAACCATTTTCATTCAAAATTTGGCAATAGCACCAAAAAATCCGCAGAGGGCAAAGCGGAGCGGCCTTCCCTTACAAAAGAGCAACATTTCTAGTTCGTAGCAGAGTGTAGAGCTAGGCCGAAAATAGAGAAGAATTTCAATATCTACAGAAATGGACGATTACACAAGAGAAATGATGGACCTCAAAACCCTAGTCACTCGAACCCTAGAGAAGAAAGGCGTCCTCGCCAAGATCCGAGTATTTACTATTTATCTCCTTTTTCTCCTCTGCATTTTCCCTTTTTATAATGTATTGTCTTCTATTTTCTTCTCTACTTGACCTAAAATGATGCTAGGATCCGATCTGGTAGTTATCTATCTATCCATGCTTTAAAAGACTCTTTATTTATAAAATTAATAAAAAGAAAGAAAAGAAAATGTTCAGTGCAGAATTCAGGGTAGTGAGAATTGTCTATGCTTCAAAATGGAACTTTTGGAATGACTGTAACAGCAGCTTATAGAAATATCGAATTTCATGCTTACAAGATAAAGATATTCAACTCAATTTTCCACTCGCTCGCACTAATTCTTTTACGTACAAAAAAAGAGGAAATAGAGTTAGAGAAAGGCTGAAAGTGAATGTGTACCATGTTGGATTTTTAATGCTAGAGAATCGTAGCAAAAAACTAAAAACTGATGATCTCTGATTGTTATGCTCACATTTGCTTCCTTTAAGTCGGGTCATTTTTTTTAAAAAAACAATTTTACATATTTTACGGTGTGATGTTTCTTAGGCCGAACTTCGAGCGAGCGTTTTCGAGGCAATTGAAGAGGAGGATAAGGTAATTGAGAAGGATGAAGGCTTGCCCCCTGCACTATTGGGTAGCTGCAATGATCAGGCAAAACACCTCCATAATTCACCTTCAGGTCATTTTAATGTTTTTGTCCTTTTTGTTATTCTTCTGGTTATAAATCCTTGCAAATGTTTGTGTTAAAGATGGAAGGTAAGACATACTTATCTTGTCTAGAAGAATTCTATCTGACTTTGGTAATATATCAGAAAGCTGAGTTGTTTTAAAGTACTGTAGCAGACCGCTTGTTAAAAGTCTCAATCTATTGTACGTATTGACCTTTGGTCGCTTAGGACTTGGGAGTTAAATCTAAATATCTGTTTTAGGATCTAGTGCTGTGAATCTCCCGCATGATAAATCTAAATCTTGCTTGCAAATGGCTACACCTTTTTTTCAATAATTCATGATTTGGCTTTTGATGCCTTGTTTTGTGAAGCATGATATTACTTTCCTGTTTCAACCTGATTTAGTTTGTAAGTTGTGATGAAATTTGATATCTAAAATAACTACAAAGTACCATCCCCAAAATCAATTTCCAGTACTTTATATTAAAAGAGTCTTAGAGGAAGTCCTAGAGGGTGTCATCTATCAGCAAAGTTAAGCATGTACGTGAACTCTGCATTTGTGTCTTAAAAGGCATTTTCTGAACGAGTCTCGCTGAGAGCCCGGGGGTAAAAATGCACTGAGGCGTACTAGCGTGGCATAAGTATCGTGCAACATAAGTCGCAATCCTCCGGGCATTCGCTTAGGCGTAAGTCCCAACTTTCTGGGCGTTCATTTGGGGTGTGCGCCCAGATAACATTTCCAAATTGGAACCAAAATTGCTTAATTCTCTTTTTTAGTATGATAATACTCAGAAGTTAACTCATGGTAAATTTTCAAACTAAAAGAACTCAAAAGTCAAAAGGCTTTTTCTAATTTCATAATCCTTTCTCTTTGTTGTTTTGTAACAAATACTTTTTGGCCCTTGGTCTGCAAAGTGCAAACTACAAAGCAAGAGCTTTTTCCTCAATGGTTGCTGCTTCCATGCTTGCATATTTCTTCTTTACGCTTCATTAAGTTTTTTCCCTCTCTTTAATCTATTCTTTTCAAGTTTGTTTTTGGTTTTAGAATTTCTTTTGGTATCACTCTAGTTTACGTATTGTTCTGGGGACTCTATTTTATAAAACCCATCTTTTGTAGTACCTGCAGTAGGAAGGACCATCTAAATGGTCAAAAGTCATTTCTACATCCAATTTGCAAAAGGATCCCTTTTTCTCCTTTTTTAGTCCCCAACCAAAAACTTCATTCGCTATGAGGGCAGCATCAGTTATCTGTCTTCCCTGAATGAATGCGTTCTGATATCCACAAACAAGTTTGTTGATCACTTTCTTCAATCTTTCAGCTGAGCTTTGGCAGCTATATTGTAAATGCTACTAATCAAACTAAGAGGCCTGAAATCCTTCAATTTTACTGCACCTTCTTCCTTTGGTATTAAAGCAATAAATGTGGCATTACAGCTTCTGATCGTCTGCCCATTCTGACGGAAGATTCAAGTGCTCCCAGAATGTCATTCTTTATTTCTCCATGCCTTTTGATAGAATGCCATAGTAAAGTCATCTGGTCCATATGCTTTATCAGGTGCACTAGACTTGATAATTCCCAGTACCTCTTCTTCAAATGGACTTTCCAACCAAATTATATTGTGCAGGGTGTTAAGTGTCTCACATTGGTTGAGGAATGGATTTTTGTTATATTGTTTTGACAATCCTCATCTCATGAGCAACCTTTTGGGATTGAGTTAGGCAATGTCTATTCCTTTATGGCCTCCTTATCCCTTTTTAGTCATGCCTGCTATTTCTCGTATTATGATTTTCTTTTGAACTAAAATCTATCAATGTGGAAGGTTTTGGTTAGACCTTACTTGTATACAAATATTAAAAATAAAGATATGAAGGGGAGAAACATAATGGCTTTTGCTCATCATACATCAGATCAATTCCATTACAAAAAATAATTTATGATAGAACTATCTAAATGCAAACTCTTTTGCTGGAAAGAGTCCTCATTTTGAAAAGAATTCTAGAAAATTTAACTTTAAGGAGAAAGAATCCTCTCTAGAATAAAGATATTAAGTTTCATGGGACATGGATTTGCCTCTTCACATGTGATTTACAGAAAGCATAAAGCGACTTCATTTACAAAAGATACTAAATTTTGAGGGATATACCCTTCAAATTAAAAACTTCTCTTGTTACCTTAGAATTTTCCGAAGGTACCTAGACATATTTTATCTGAATCTAATTGTGACGATAATATACCTGTTATTGCACTCTGTTTGTCTAATGATCAATGCATCAGCATTGATGTGTTTTAGCTCTAAGAAGTGTTAAAATTTGATACATCCTCCTATAGTAGATCACTTTGCTTGTTCGTATTAACTTTTGTTTTTTCCCCTCTCTTGATGTGCAGGAGGGCTACTAACTGCACTTATATGTGAATATTTGGATTGGGCTCAATTAAACCATTCACTTAAAGTTTATTTGCCAGAGTGTAATTTGGTAATCATGTACGGGATTCTCCCGAGCGAATATATACTGTTCTTTGCAAAATCTTGTCAGTATCTTGTTCTACTTATGAAGGACCCGTTATGTGATTGTGTAGCCAAAGGATTCATGGAAATCTGAGCTAAAAGAATTTAGCAGCAAGAATGGATATGATCTTAACAGAAATGGTGATAGCGCTCCCTTGCTTTTGGATGTTCTTGAAGGATTCTTGAAATATGAGGTTGGGTAAAATCTTTTAGTTTAGATGTCAATATAGTCTGACAAATGATTATTATTATTATTATTATTATTATTATTTTGTTTGATATGTGTAAATGTTTTTAAATATAGTATTTGCAAATAATAGTTTCCTGTACTATTTCTTAGCTGCGACTTCCTCTCTACACACAATTCCGTTTTTGTGGGTTGTGCTGTAATAAGAAAGATCTTGCTATGACTATACCTATTCTCTCAAAATGTGGGTAAATATGCAAGTCTGTGGTTAGGAATTATAGCAAGTATTGTTGCGAAAATTTATTTTTTTGCAGAATTTATCTCAAGCAATGGGGGCTGGAAGGAGATTTACTGCACCAGATGCTGGATCTCTTTCCAATACTGAAGCTAGGAATATTAGGAAGCCTTCTTCATCTTCAGTTGCTGGAGGCTTACCTCCATTGGGAAGGTTAACATATAAAACATTATCACTTCTTCTCTTACTCTCTCATTTGATTTAAATTTGACTTGGTACCATTTTACACCACAGGCCAGGTCCTGCTGCCCAGTCGTCTGGTAAGTAGTCTAGCTGATCTTTTTTTTCCCCCCTTTTCTTTTCCTGTTGGTAATTAATTCCAAGTGCATGAATTTCTGATCTTGTTGAGATTCTAGACAGAAGGGCAGGTTCATCTATATCTGGATATAGGAAAGATGAATACAACTGGAGATACGAAAATGATGAGCTTCCGCAGGATGTAATGCTTGCCTCATCTGCCTTAGAAAACCTTCAATTGGACAGAAAAGCTTGGAACCTTACCTCTTCATGGCGGTCAGTTTTTAAACTCAGTGGGATTTAATTACAGATTTGGTTTTAATATAATTATCTATTGGCATGAGTGCAAAAGAATTCATATGTTTTAAGATCTGGCTTGGAGGGTACTTCAACTTATCAAAAAAATTCTGGCTTGGAGGGTAATCTTTAGAAGAAAGGCAACCTTATCGCTTCTATTAAGGAGTATTAGTAATGTGCTTATTGTGAAATTCATTTATAGCTTAAACTTCAGAAGAGTCAGATTGTGGTGTAGGTTTTATGCTACTTTTAGTTCTTTTGATGGGTGGGCTTATGCTACTTATTTATAGACATTTCCGTGATGAATGGGACAATGTCAATGTAAAAACAGCTTAAATATGATGTCAGCATGGCCTCTGTTTTCGGGGTGGGGATGTAGGCATTAACAAACAGGTTCCTAATTGTACTCCATAATTGGTGTGCAACCTGACAGCGTAGCAGCATGTGGTCCATAGCTTTACCCAACCTCTTACACGTAGCACCTGTTAGGCTGTTAATATGAGTCATCTTCCTTTTCCTCAAATTCTCAGCAAAAGATAGCCCCCCATATTGCCAATCAACGGAAGCACTTTTTCTAGGCTCCCGTGGACTCATACTGAGACATGACAAAAAGCCAGGTTGTCCAGTCTCAGTTATATGTAATAAAAATCCTTAACTGTGAAAAATTCCTTTGCTTTGTCCTTGCTTTTGAGAGATTGAAACGTCGGTGAGATTCTGCTTATAAAGTATCTAAACTAAGTCCTGAAATTCGTCAACTTCCCAATCCTGTAAGTTCCTCCTCAACTTCAAAACATATCCTCAGTCTGCATTATGTTTGGAAGTATACTAGATAAAGTGCTCATTATCAGTTTTCCTTCCCTCAGCAGGGTGGTAAAGCAAGAGCTATCATCAATCAGTGTTTCCTGCGCTCTTTGGATTAGTATCTCTCTGCCACCTTACTGACCTTTTCTCCTCTCTTTCAGTTATCAAATTCTAGAATTCACATATCTTGTGGGAGAAATACAATGGTTGATCCAAGTACATCGCTGGAGTGACCCAATCTTGCGTTGGAATACCACCTTAACCTGCGATTGCAGCGTATGCTGTAACGTTGTATGGAGTGACTTTGTTAGAATTGATCATATCTTTGTGTAGAAAGGTCCAAATGACAACCATTTTGATCTGTTGAAAACTAAAATCCTAGCACAATTTTGCTTGTAGCACCATGCCCATATTCCTTGTACAATTAAGAGGTTGTGACCTTTTGAGATAGAGTCATGTTCACTTGCTAGAAATTGTAGCTGTTGCCTAAGTTTTCATCACCTTTGGCCTTAACCAGTATTGTTCTTTGTCAGTTGACTTTAAATCCATGTGCTTTCAAGCTTCTTCAAGTTCTACCTTGGCTTGTAAAATAACTTGTATTGATTGCACTGAGTTTCCTGTCAATATACCATGATCAAATGTGATAAAAAGCATTAGCCCTTGTCGCTCTCTCTCTCGGTGTGTGTGTGTGTGTGTACAGTAAAAAGGTTGTTCTGTACTTCTGTTATACTTAAAAGTTAAGAAGTTGTACATTGATATAAATGACATTGACAATTTAACCCCCCAAAAAAACATTGCCTTGAAAAGTGCTCCCATTTTATTAGACCTAGTAGAAGTTTTTGTTACATGAGCAGAGGGAATTTGTTCAATTATCACAGTGATAAGTGATGACCAAGAAAATCTGCTGAAATTCTTGAAAAACTTGCATACTCTAGTTTTTCCACCTTCGAGTTCACTGCTGATACTTTCTCACCTTGTCACCCCTTTTCCATAATAAGGTTTTGGTCTTTCCATTTGTCAGGCATAGCTACAGGCATTGCATAGTTGACCTTCAAGTTCTACCTTGGCTTGTAAGATAACTTTTATTGACTGCACCAAGGTTTCTATCAATATACCAATGGTCGAATGGGATAAAAAGCGTTAGCCCTTGTTACTATGTATGTCTCCCTTGTCACTGTTGCGCGCAACAACAACGACAACATACCCAGTATAATCCCACATGTGTGTGTGTGTGTGCGCGCGCGTATGGTGAAAATGTCGGTCTGTTATAGTTAAGAACAAGTTGTACGTCATTATAAATTTCATTTCCAATTAATCTAAAGAAAGCACATTGCATGCTTCTAAAGTGCTCCCATGCTATTAGATTGAGTAGAAAATTTTGTTACATAGTGATAAACGATGACCAAGAACTGATGATAAGCTGCTGATTTTCTAAAAAAATTGCATACTTTAGTTTTTCCTTTTATTGATATCTCTGTCGTTTGTCATACTTCCTAAACTGCTTTCCAGCAAATGAAGCGGTATCTCAATTTGTGCTGAATTGGATTGCAGGCACAGAGGTGATGACATGTCTGAGGATGATAGCAGGGGAGAATAGATGATATGTGGTCTCCAAATCACCGAGATGGAAATTGATGATATCCTTCTAACTTAGAAATGCAATGTTCTGATGTATGCTGTGTACGATTTAAATACTATATTGCTTGTAGTAATTGGTGTGAGCTTCTCATTTTCTTTTCTTTTTTCCTGTATCATTTATCATTTTCCCCCCTGTATTGCGAAATCCCCTCTGTGGCTAAGCAGCCGCGCTTTAAGGATTTTTCTTATCATATGACGGTTGCTCTTGAGTTGGATGCCCGGCGTGATTACTAGAAGCTGTTTCTCTGTGGTATTACTGTTTGCTGCAAGTCAGCAACTAATATGGACCTTTATTTGTAGCCCTTCATTTGACTCGTTGACAGTAGGGAGACTGAAATTCCTAAGAAGTTCAGTTACTGAGCAGGCTTATAAAGAGTGTAAAATTTTACTTTAAAAAATTCATTTTTGCTAAAACTGAAAAGTAACCGTTTTTCGAGTATTGCTTGTTCAAATCACTGGTAGATGTTCTTTTCTTTAACGAAATGCTGGAAATGGTAGCGTTGATTTCGAATCCAACTACAACGACTGCTAATTCTTGTCCAACTTTTTATTCTGTGCTATTTTGGAGTAGAAATGTTTCCAAGGGTTGCAGTTGTTGGACGGATATTTGATGCATCAAATGTTGTAGAAACAAGCGCAAAATGGGACAAAATCTAGTGAGTTTAACTTTAGAGAAACATCAGTGATGAAGGTAAAAATCATAAAGAATACAACAATAACAAATCCAATGTAGTCCTATGGTCTGGAAAAATCATAATGAATAAATTTTATATTGGCCTCGATATGAAAATTTAGTTGTTTCGTTTTACTTTCAGCTCTATTGTACACAAATATTATTAGTTAATCAAAGGAAGCGTGTTTTAGAATGACTTAATTTCCTTCCACAACTGATTTAGTCCATGAGGTAAGAAAAAAAAGACAATAAAAATGATAAGCTCGTTAGCTATTGCCTAATAGAAAAACCTAGATACAGTGTCAACCTAGTACATACCTCGTTAAGAATCATTACCTAGGCAATCATACTATTCAGCTATTTATTGCGACCTAGAGCTGTCAAAACGGGCCAGCCCAATCCAACCCAAGCCTCGTGGGCTTTTAAATTTGGTGGGCTAGGACGGGCCGGCCAACCATATGAATGTGCTTTAAAATGGCCAGCCCAACCCAGTCCTAAGAGGGCTAGGGCGGGCCGACCCTTAAATTTTTTTTAGAAAAAAGAATTTCTTTAAATCCTTAAATATTATTTCGTGACGTAGTCGATTAATCATGTAAACAACTTTTGTTTTCTTAGAGCGTACAAAAAGATTGATATTTGACGAGGAATCTCGTAATTGAAATGCAAATTCTCTATATCTTTAGCTCTTCTTTTTAAAGTTACATGGATATTTTCTTAATACTTTTCTTTCATTTTCCTTAGATTCAGGGATTGCTCCAGCAAGTTTATATGCTGAGGTTTTTAAATTTAGGATTAACATCATTTGCTGATTTCATCATTATAGTTCATAAAATTTTTAAAATTCTTGAAATTTGCTAGTGGTCAAAATTTTTTGTGTATATTTAAAATTGATCTTTTTCTATACTGAAGAGCAATTTAAATATTAATAATATATTAAAGTATTCCGAACTGATCATTGGCCGCTTAAAGTAATATTTTCTTTTGAAAAAAGATTATTATTGGCCACCTAACACTTTTCGAGTTCGTTATTAATTAAGCAAAAGAAAAACTAGTTTTGTCATATTACATGCATGTCAAAAATTTAATTTCTAGTTGATATGGAAGGGTAAATGAGCAATCTAGGGTTGGGGAGTGGGGATTATAGTTAATAGTTTTTTAGTTTTTACTTTTTCTAAATATTATATATTTAATAGTTAATTAATTAGAATTTAATTAATTTTTGCCCCACAGGCCGGCCCAGGCCCAACCTTGATCAAGCCTCAAGGCAGCGGGCTCACTTGGACCGGACTTCTAAGCTTCAGTTTTAAATGGGCTCAAAAAATTCTAGCCCAACCCTACCCAAGTAGCGGGCTGGGTTAGGCTGTACTCATGTACAACGGTAAGTCCTTGTCTGTTTTTTTTTTTGGGCATTTGCATCTATACTCGCTTTTTGGGTCACGTTTTAACTTATGCCCGCTTTGCAAAAAAAATTGCAAGCTTACCCACTTTTTCGCGTTACTTCAGCATACGGGGCTGAAGTAGCAAAGGCAATCACGCAAAACTTCAGCATTCTAGTAGACGGGACTGAAGTAGCAAGTGTGCTGAAGTTTTTGTTTGTAATTACCGAACTTAAGCATAGTAGCTGAAGTTTTGTTCTCTATTTGTTGAAGTTTTTGTTTGTAATTGCTAAAGTTTTTTTGTTTTTGTAACTGGCGAACTTCAGCTCTAGAGCTAAAGTTTTTGTTTTTGTAATTGGCAAACTTCAGCTCTAGAGCTGAAGTTTTTGTTTTGTGACTAGCAAACTTCAGCTCTAGAGCTGAAGTTTTTGTTTTCGTAACTGGCGAACTTTAGCTCTAGAGCTGAAGTTTTTGTTTTGTAACTGTCTAACTTCAGCTCTAGAATTGAAGTTTTTGTTTTGTAACTGGCGAACTTCAGCTCTAGAGCTGAAGTTTTTATTTTGTAACTGTCGAACTTCAGCTCTAGAGCTGAAGTTTTTGTTTGTAACTAACAAACTTCAGCTCTAGAGCTCTAGGGGGCATGTTGTACCCACACAAAGTAACTTAAAGCAACATTAACAGGAACCAAGAAACATCAACATATTACCAATCCAATCGACAACTGAAATCTCCAATTTCCGCCAGACCCAATTCACCAAACAACAATATAAAATTAATAATTAATTTCTCTTGAGCTCTAGAGCTGAAGTTTTTGTTTTTGTAACTAGCGAACTTTAGCTCTAGAACTGAAGTTTTTGTTTTGTAACTGTCGAACTTCAACTCTAGAACTGAAGTTTTTGTTTTGTAACTGGCGAGAGCTGAAGTTTTTATTTTGTAACTGTCGAACTTCAGCTCTAGAGCTGAAGTTTTTGTTTGTAACTAACGAACTTCAGCTCTAGAGGGCATGTTGTACCCACACAAAGTAACTTAAAGCAACATTAACAGGAACCAAGAAACATCAACACATTACCAATCCAATCGACAACTGAAATCTCCAATTTCCGCCAGACCCAATTCACCAAACAACAATATAAAATTAATAATTAATTTCTCTTGTCCCCTTTTCACATCAAAATTGTGCATAAGATTCAAGTTGCAAAACCAAGATAGAACCTTTACAGCTAAGGGTGTCAGCGAAAAGGAAAAAATGATTGAAAATTTATAGGACTCAACGGAGAAATAAGAAGCAGATAGGGATGAACCTTACTTCTTGAAAAAGAAAAGATAAAACTTCGAGGAGAAAGGGGACTGAAGTTGTTTAAAAAGTGGGTACAAATTAAAACTTTTAAAAAAAATGGGTATAGATTAAACGGGGGCGACCAAATAGGGCGACCCGTGCAATTTTTACTTTTTTTGGGGGGTGGGGGTGGGGGTGGGGGTGTGAGACTAGGATTTTCTTGCATGCTTGTCATCAAGAAATCCTTGTCTTGGTCAGCCAACAAAATATACATTTGAAGATAGAATACAATTGAGAACGATTTTACAAATACAGTAATCAGAAGTCCCTTTTGCTTTACACCATTCTACTGATTATTCACTTTTAACGAATAAGCAACTGATTATACGAATGCCCTGAAAGAAGGGAAGGGATAAAGAGAAGACAAGAATACAAAAATTATTCTTCTATTACAGTGGACCAATATTGAGGGCATTCCACATCTGGCCCTTTGAGATTTCCATCTTTAGGATTCTTGCACTTTCTCCTCCAACTGATGACCGTTCATTTCCTTCTGCTCCTCATTCACAGTTTTGGTGTCGTTAACCTCCTCGGCTGGCTTCCCCTGTTTCACTCAATTATTTTTATACTAGATATTAGAACCACGATTTGCTATTAAAAGAACAAAGAAACAAGAAGGCTGATATATTTTTACAGCAACCACCTACTAAAACTCGGGGATTTGTAACTTTTAAATAAAGGCAATCTACTGTTACACCATCAAATCTTTCTAGCCAATACTTTAAAAAGGGAGATTTGCATCCCAACTTCTTTTGCACTTCGTAATTACGTATGTGTTGATGTGTATAATCACACATGAAAATGGGAAACATATGTGAATGTTTCATATTAGTATTTTGTTATTACTCTTATTATAATAATCTAGACGGGTAATAAAGCATGTCAATAGAATACATAAAGGTCACAGAAATGCAGGGTAAACAATAGACCATTGTGGTCCCGCCCTTCCCCGGATCCCGCGCATAACGGGAGCTTAGTGCACCGGGCTGCCCTTTAAAGGTTGATATGATGTTATAGAGATGTCCAATTTGCAATGTCTATGGATGGACATACCAACAATAATGTCACAGCATTAGCAAGTTAGACAGATCAACAAATATAGTGAATTGGACTAGTCAACTTTCTTGGTAAATCATAAAGGCTGGAGGCTGGCGATCTTACGAGTGAACATGTGATGTCTAACAACTGCCAGAAAGGTGATAAGCCAATCAACTAGATTTCATCCCTAAATTGGAGAAATTTTAAAACTTACCTTGCTGCTGTCACGCCAGCCAAGTCCAAATGGTCTTGAGAGCAAGCTGATCTTTCTAGCGGGTATCTCTTCTGATGAATCTACATTGCTCCCTACAGGAGATGAATCTTGCTGTGTGGATCTATAAAAGAATGTGATCTTCCATGTTAAGAGAAAATACAAGATATGCATTAATAAATGTAGTATGGTTTTCTTATCACTCTTAACATAGACATGGTATTGTCCTTTGGCAACCAATAAAGCAGTTTCAATGGCAAGTAAAAGACTAACTAGAAATAGTGTCAGTAAAGAACACCATGATTACCAGGGCATATGATAGTGTGTTTAATACTGCAATAAAAGTACAACATGTAAGCACGGGTATATACCTCGGAGAAGGTAGTACTTTATCTTGACCAGATTGATACTGCAAGGTAGCCTCCAACATTGTTTCTGCCATAACCACCCTCTTTTCCATCTCAGCGAGGGAAGCAATTGTTTCTTCATACTTTTCCTGCAGGTTGTCGCAGTGACACACAAGATGTTCAACATATCACAAACTAATGTCATATTTCCAAATTTAAGTTCCCCTATCATGCTTGAACTTATGAACTAG